ATGTCCATGTGTAGAGTCTTCTCTTGTGTTGTTGGAAGAGGGTGTTTGCTATGACCAGTGCATTCTCTTGGCAAAAATCTATTAGCCTTTGCCCTGCTTCATTCTGTACTCCAAGGCCAAATTTGCCTGTTACTCCAGGTGTTTCTTGACTTCCTGCTTTTGCATTCCAGTCCCCTATAATGAAAAAGATATCTTTTTTTGGGTGTTAGCTCTAAAAGGTCTTGTAGGTCTTCATAGAACTATTTAAGTTCAGCTTCTTCAGCATTACTGGTCGGGGCATAGACTTGGATTACTGTGATATTGAATGGTTTGCCTTGGAAATGAACAGTGATCATTCTGTCGTTTTTGAGATTGCATCCAAGTACTGCATTTCAGAGTCTCTTGTTGACTATGATGGCTACTCCGTTTCTTCTAAGGGATTCCTGCCCACAGTAGTACATACAATGGTCATCTGAGTTAAATTCACCCATTCCAGTCCATGTTTGTTCGCTGACTCCTAGAATGTCGACGTTCACTCTTGCCGTCTCCTGTGTGACCTCCTCCAATTTGCCTGATCCATGGACCTACCATCCAGGTTCCTGTGCAGTGCTGCTCTTGACAGCGCGGACCTCGCTCCCACCACCTGGGTGTTGCTTTGCTTTGGCTCCATCCCTTCATTCTTTCTGGAGCTATTTCTCCAGGAGCACATTGGGCACCTACCGACCTGGGGAGTTCGTCCTTCCAGGTCCTTCCTTTTTGCCTTTTCGTACTGTTCAGGTTTAACCTTTTATTATTTGTCTTCTCTTTGTCCCCTCTGGTGTTTGCTCTTCAAGTTCCCCTTTCTTGTCTTCTTTTGGCGTTTTGGAATTTTTTAGTGCTCTGTTATATCTGTTAGTACTCTGACTGTAAATCTGCACATGTTGTTTTTTAGTGGCAACTGCGGGCATTATAATGTATACACATAATTCCACAGTGTCCACACAGAGCTAATGTTTTATCTCCTCAAGAGAAACATGGAAACCTTAAAACACAGGCCCTTTAACCCTCACCTTCCATCATGCTGTAGCTGTTATATGTATTCATCTATCATACATATATTAAAAACCCCACCAAGCATTGTTATTTTTGCTTTCAACAGTCACATATACAGGAAATGAGAAAAATGTGCTATTACATTTACCTAGTTATTTACCACTTTTTGTTTTTCGTTTATTGTTGAATTTCCAAGTTTCCCTTGAGAATTATTTCCTTTCTGCCTGAAGAACTAGCCTTATCATTCCTTTAAAGAAGGTCTACAGGCAGTACATTCTCTCAAGTGTTCTTTCCTCTCAGAATGACTATTTTGCTCTCACTCCTGAAGAATATACCCAGAAGAATTCCATGTTGGCTCTTCTCGTCTCTCAGAACTATCAATCTTAGACCATAGTGGCTTCTGATATGAAATCTGAAATCATTCAAATCATTTTTCCTCTGTATGTAACCTGGTCCTTTTATCTGGATGCTTTCAATTTTTTCCCACTGATTCCATTTTGACTGTGATGTGTGTGGACATGGTTTTAAAAAAACGTTTCCCCACTGATTTGAATATGATTGTGTTGTTTGGGCATCGTTTTTGAAGGTTATCTGATGAGCATCTTGGACGTGTAAATTGATGGCTTTCATCAAGTCTGTAAAATGGTCAGTATTTACTTCCTCAAAATTATTTTTCTTCATTGATATCATTCTCCTTTGCCCGGGTGATCAATGACTGTCTCAGAGATCCTGGGTCTGTGTTCATTTTTAAAAACCTTTTTTTTGCCTCCAGCCTGTGTCCTTCCCCTTTGCCTAGAGAAAGAATTCACAGAATGAGATGAAAAGTTCTGCTCAGGGTAAGAAGGGGCACTGAGGAGGCAGCAGTGATGCAGGGGTTTAGAAGACGGGCAATGAGAAAAGATGGTGCTGAATTATAGAAACAAGTCAGTCAGTGCAGAGGAAAAGAGGATCCACCACCCCAGGTCAGGAGGGAGGGCTGCACTTTATGCTAAAGAACGGGGCTCAGTGTTCCAAGCATCTCCCATGCATCTCTCTCCTGGGGTCATCCTGTTTATGACTGCCCCACTGGCTCCTCTGGGCAACCGAGGCAGACAGGGGAAGCACCTTCAGCTCCCCAGCCTCCCGCACTTCACACCCAACCACAGCTCCACACCCCTGTGCCCCGGAGCCCGTGGACGAGGTCCCTGATCTGCCCCAGACGTCCTGTCTGTGTTTTCCCATCAGCCTCCTTCCTGGTCCTCCAGTTCAGGCCCCGCCCCTTACTCCTGTTCATCTCTCACCGCCTCCAAAACGACTCTTCCCATCATCGTTTCGGGTCTGAGCCTGCCCCATTCAAAATCCTTTCAACAGTTTCCACCTTCAAAATCGTGGTCCAGGTGCACCGCCCCATATTCCAGGCTGTGGCAGGTCAGCCCCACTAAACAGTTCTCCCTCCTAGACCAGACTCATCACACTTAACCACACATCCCCAAGCACCCATGTACACAGACCTACTTAACAACTCTGTGCCTCCACAGACCGTCCCTTCAGCCAGTCTGAACAGGGCCCAGTCCCTTCCAACCTGCCGGACCAAGAAGCCTTCCTTTTTCATTGCACTGTAAATATGTGAAGTCACTCGGTCACGGCCAACTCTTTGTGACCCCGTGGACTGTAGCCTGCCAGGTTCCTCTGTCCAAGGGATTCTTCAGGCAAGAACACTGGAGTGGGTTGCCATTTCCTTCTCCAGGGGATCTTCCTGACCCAGGGATCAAACCTGGGTCTCCCGCACTGCAGGTAGACTTACCATCTGAACTACCAAGGAAGGCCAGTGTAAATATATTTCGAATTATAGGTTCATGTAAGCTTTGTCTTCATGAACGACTTAAAACACTGGTCAACACGCCATGCAGGAGCCGGACCAACGTCGGTGTTTTACTGTGAACAGGGTCCATTATCAGTAGAGCCCTCCTGCATCACACTCTCCACATAGCGGTAATCTTTCTAAACTAGAGATCAATTCATACTGTGCGCTGCTGGAAACCTTCCCACTGCTTTAAAGATAAAACCCGGAACATTTACATGGCTCTCAAGACCCAGTGTGGCGACGCCCCCGCCTTCACCCACATTGCTCTCAATTCTGAGAGCAGCTCAAGGTCTGTCTGGTTGGGATGCCGCCGCCTCCACCACCGCCCCTGAGCTGGTAGCTCCTGCTGTTCACCCGTCAGACACACCTCCCAGCCAGGAGCCAGGTTTCATGATGTCTGTCTATTAAAGATACTCATGGTTCCCTGTTTTCTTCCAACTCCTAACAGTCTCCCAAGAGTTAGCTGAATTGTTTGCCGTGTAAATGCTTGTCATATCTGTTTGTATTAATCTGAGCCCAAGTCCAGGGAAAGAATTTGCTGGCATCACCAAGGAAACTCCAGGCTCTGTCACCATGGCTGAACATGGCCATTGCCCAACAAATATTGACGAACTGGACTAGCTGACGGAAGAAAGGAAGAACGTTTGCAGAAGCTCAGGAAAGGGAAGCTACTTGCCCAAGATCACACAACCCTTGTGGGAGGCAGACTAAGAACCGGGACTAAACTCAGATGGTTCCTGGGCCTGCCCGGCTTCTTGCAGACTCACACTTTGGGATGTGAGGTCACTCTCCAAATCCAGACTTGGCAAAAGGAGGTGGCAAAAAAGGCAGAGAGTGGTGAGGGGGAGCAGGTGTGCAGACGGGTGTCAGTAAGTCTGATCTGGTCAGAAAGGCCCCCAGAGGCCACGGTCGCCTCAGCCCCACCCTTCAGTGAGTGCGGAGCGAGGCTCAGGAGGAACCCGGGACGTGCGCCACCGAGCCTGGACCTTCACGCCCGGTGCGTCTGTCCGGCCTGCGGGCTCTGAGCTCTCTGTAAGTCACCTGCTCTGCTGAGGACCATGAGAGTCAGCGCCACGACCCTGACCTTCACCGCCCTTCTCTGCCTCGGTGAGCTTCGGGGAAGGGAGGGGGTGGGGACCCCCTCCTCCCACATCTGGTCCCTGAGAGGCCCCAGGACGCAGGAGGCTCCATGGGGACAGACTTTCTTGGGGGAGAGGGGAATGTCCTCAGCCCGGATNGGGAAAACAGGAGTGAGAGGCACAAAGACTAAGGAGACCCACACAGACGGGCTGAGAGGAGCTGGGAGGGCTCACAGGGAGGCCCCTCAGCTCACGGTCCGGGGTGTGGGGAGGGGCTCTCTGCTCATCACCCCCGTCCTCCCCCAGGAATGCACAGGAAACCCTCCCTCTCCGCCCGCCCGGGGGCCTCAGTGCCCCAGGGAGAGAACGTGACCCTGCAGTGTCGCTCTGAGGTCCGCTCAGACACCTTCTATCTGTCCAAGGAGGGGTCGCCCGCTCCTCCCCAGCACCTGCGTCTGCAGGACACGGCTCCGCCCGTCCAGGCCAACTTCACCCTGAGAGCTGTGACCTCGGCCCACGGTGGGACCTACAGGTGCTACGGCTCACATAGCACCGCCCCCCACCTGCTGTCGCTGCCCAGTGACCCCCTGGAGCTCCTGGTCTCAGGTGAGGGCCCAGCCCTGGTCCTCTGTGTCCTCCGGGGCAGGCCAGGGCCCTGTCCCCAGGGGAGCTCTGGGCTGAGTGGGAGTGGGGGGTCACAGAGGGGGGGATCAACCCTGAGGGGGCTGCAAAGAGCCAGAGGCCTCCCTTCCCTGCCCGTCCTCACCCTCATCTCAGCCATCCAGACCCGCTGCTGGTGATGGAGCAAAGCTAGAGAGGCCTCGGGGCCGACCAGCAGGACTCAAGGCCAGCGCCCCCAGGCCCCACCCTACCCTGGTCTCCAGTCCTCGTGGCCCCTCGCCCAGAGGGAGCACAAGAGAGCAGCTAGCAGAGCCCGCGGCCCGCAAGGGAGCGAGCGGCCAGGCCCCTGGCTCAGCTGGTGTCCCGGGGGACCGCGGGGCTCCCGGGGCTGAGATGTGGAGGACGGGTGGGGGTCGTGCAGAGGGAGATGCTGGGGCCCAGCTGGGGGAGGGCAGCAGGGCTGATAAGGGGGAAGCAGGCCGCCGCTCATCTCCACCCTGACCCCCAGGAGGCTCCGGGAATCAGCTCCTCCCTGCCTTGGAATCAGGCCCGGGTGAGTCAGGCCCTGTGTGGGGCAGTGGGGGTGGGAGCAGCTGTCGGGGCTCCGGTGCTTCCCGAGGTAGTGGCCTCAGGACAGCCCCTTCTCACTGGAATCAGCCTCAACGGCAAGGACGGGGACGCAGCGACATTGGATGGGACAGTGTCTGAGCTCTCCGGCCCCCCAAGGAGCAGCCGTGGTGCCAGGCAAAGAGCCGGGCGTGGGAGTCACATGGCTCCGCTACTTCCAACCTTGGGATCTTGGACCAGTCATGCTCCTCTCAGGGTCCGAGGCCCACCCTCCACAGAGGGGGCCTCCCAACTCCTTCCTCAGCACGACAGCCTGCAGCACAGGGCCTGTTCAGGCCTCTGGAAGGCCAGAGCCCTCCCCACTGCCCCTCTAATACATACACTCCACATCCATGCAGGCCCCGTGGTGGGGGCGGGCGAGGGGACGGGGAAGCGGGAGGCAGGCCTCTGAAGGGTGGGAGACAGATCTGGCTGGGCTGGCAGAGAGCTGGGCTTGATGCACGTGTCTCTGAACTGGTGTTCTGCCTGGAAATGAAAGCATGAAAACTAACTCTAAAAAATAAGAGGGAACCCTGGGTTGCAGTCCCAGCTCCGCCACCTCCAGGTTGGGCGACTTGGGGCCCGTGATCTCCGTCGCTGTGCCTCAGTTTCCTCGCCTGTAAAACGGGTGGGATGGGTTGGAGACGGAGGCACAGACCCCAGCATGAGTCTGCACGGCAGGTGCTCAGTCAAACGGCATCGCTGGCTCACTCAGACGTCTCTGGTGCCCCAGGCCTCACCTGGTACCTGAGTGTCCTCATCGGGGTCTCGGTGACCTTCGTTCTGCTGCTCCTGGTCCTCCTCTTCCTCTTCCTCCGACACCGGGGTCAGGACAGACGCAGGACGTCAGGTGAGTAGGGAACGGGGTGACCAGGACCCCTGGAGGCGACGGGCTTAGGGCACCAGCCAAAGGGAAACCTAAGAGAGGGGCGAGGTCCGGTCAGAACTGCTCTAGTCTCCCGCCGAGAGAAATCTAGAGGCTAAATCTGAGCGCACGTCAGCATTCTAGAGTATCTGCTGCTGTTTTCAGACTCACACAACGCTTGAGAGTGTGTGCAAGCTCTGTATGTGTGGTTCAGAGCGCTCGACTTTACAGTGTTTGAATCTCATTTACTGGCTGCTCTGGGTCTTGGTTGCTGTGCGTGGGCTTGCTCTGGCTGCAGGGCTCCTCGTCGCGACGGCTTCTCTTGCCGCAGCTCCTGGGCGCTGGGGTGCTCGGGTTTCAGCAGTCGTGGCTCCCAGGCTCCAGAGCACAAGCTCAGTAGTTGTGGCTTAATTGCTCCGTGCAATGTGGAATCGCCCCAGACCAGGGATCAAACCCATGTCCCCTGCGTTGGCAAGCGGGTTCTTTACCACCGCACCACCAGGGAAGCCCTTCTCTTGGATTCTTCATGGAGGAGGGAAGACATGATCATTTTTTCAGCCTGGAGACCCTTGCAGATCTTCCTGTAACCCTAGAGAAGGGCTCTGGGGTGGGCTGGAGGCTGACTCCCGTCTTCCCGCAGCAGCCGCAGCATCAGTGCTTGAGGACAGAGGCCGGCAGAAGAGGTGAGACCTCTCTCACAGACTCTCACCCCACCGCCTTGCCTGGCTCCCTCCGCCCCAAGACTCCTCAGCCCGACCTCTCCCACAGACTCCCACCCCACCGCCTGCCCAGGGCTCCCTCCGCCCCAACACTGCTCTCTCCTCCCCAGCTCCAGCCCCGCTGCTGACGCCCCGGAGGAGAGCTTGTACTGTAAGGGGAAGGGGGGTGCTGTCCTGGGGGCAGGGCGGGCAGGCAGTGCACGCCAGGGATTGGTTGGCAGTGGTTCTGGGCTGGGGAGGAGAGCGCGCGAGTCTGACACTGGACTTCTGCTGTGGGAGGTGTGAGGGGGTCTAAGCAGGAGCCGGGCCCCCCTTGCACTGTCCCCACCAGGTGCCGTCACGGAAGACGCGTGGCCGGAGCACAGCAGAGCGCGGGCCAGCCAGGTAAGACCCCCCCCCCTCACTCACACACGGAGGGCAGAGGACAGACCCCGAGGCCAGGAGGCCCCTTCCATGAGCACCTGCTCCCTGGGCTGCCGCGCCCCACGCCCGGCTCCTCCGACCAGCACACTGTTGAATGCTCAGGTTGAGCTGGCAGGGCTGAACGGTCTGTGCCCCCAAAAGGGGGCTACATGCAAGCCCTGGACCTGAAGACAGGGCCAGAGGGGGCGCCTTCTAACATCCAAAGGATTCTGAGATCCTCACTCAGTTCTCAGCCATCTGCCCCCGGTCCGGTGAACCTTGTCTGTTCACCGCAGTGAGGACCAGCTCCCATGGCAGCCCTGGTGACCCCTAGCTCTCCTGCAGGGTGCAGTGGGGTCTGTCTCTCCGTGAGGAGGACCACCCCCAACTCCTACCTCCAGCCTTGTCCTCCCCCAGCATCAAACTTAGCAACCCGTCACAGGATTTCAACTGGCTTCACTTCCCTCCTTCCCGAGGGTCGAAGCTACAGGGACTGAAGGAGGGCAGGGTTCAGAGACCGCCCGTCACTGTCTTTAGCAAAGCCCTAAGACCCCCAAGGAGTGCATCCTGAGCTCCAGGCCCCCAGGCTTTGCCCACCTCACACCCCTGCCCTCTCTCTACACCCCCCAAAGGCTGCCACACTTGAAGCCCCCCAGGATGTGACCTATGCCCAACTGGACCACTCAATCAGACAGGGGGAAACCGCGCCCTCCAACCAGCAGCCAGGGGAGTGCCCAGCAGAGCCCAGTGTGTACGCCACTCTCGCCTTGCACTAGCCCAGGACAACCCAGATCCAGGGGCCCCAGGAGCTGCCCACACGGACAATCAGTTCAGCCCCAGCCAGCCTGGACTCCTGACACCAGCAGCTCTGGGACCTCCCAGGTAGGCTAGGCTGTGAGCACAATGCTGCAGGCTTCACAGGACTTGGCAAATCCTGAGTTGTAACCCGCAGATTGGCAGAAGAGCCCCAGGCCCCCAGAGCATGCCTGCAGCTGCTGGGCTTGCTCAACCCCTATTTCTCATTTCCTGAGACCAAGACAGAGAAAAGGGAAGCCTGCCTCCCGCCTGACCACGAGGTCTTCAGCAGGGGGGAGTTGGTGGCAGGGCTCCCCCTTCCTGTCTGGGAAATGGCCCCTCTCTCACTGGGAAGCAGGGGCTTACTTCCTCCACCAGGGACTGACCTGAACCCGCATCACAGCAGGGCAAGGCGGGTTCACTGGGACCGCGAGTGAATCTCCTAGTTTTGTCTTTGCCCATACTGTGGGTCCCCTGGAAGTGTGACGGAGTGATGTGTAGATGTGTGTCAGGATACAGTAAATCCAGGCCTAAGGGGAACGAGGACCACCATCCAGCAACAGCCCACAGGCGGGAACGAAGCTCAGCTGCTCCCAAACACGCGTGCCACCAGCCCAAGGCGGCGGACCCGCAGCTGCTGCCAAAGGGTGTGTGTCAGAGGGGGAAGGAGACACAGCAGTAAAGACCAGTCCCACAGTGTGGATATCCTGCTTTATTATCTGATGCACGCCAGCCGCTCGGGCACAGCCCAGGGCACTGCCCGGGCTCAGTCCTCCTCTTCATCGTCACCAGCTCCGGCCCCGCCCTGGCCCTTCTTGGCGTTCTTCCTCTTCACGCGGCCCGGGCGGCCCCCGCCATACGGGGAGCGCAGGGAGAAGTCGATGTGCTTCTGGGAGTCCAGGCGCACGATGAAGGATGGGATGTTCACCACCTGCTTGCGGACCCTGGGGGGGGAGCGGCGGGTGAGGGCTGGGCCGCGGCCGGCAGGGTGCTCCAGGCGCAGCGCGCGCTCCTGGACCTTGGGAGCGCCCATGTCCTGGACACTCGTTCACCTCTCACGGAGGGCGGGGGAGTCCCGGCCCAGAACGAACGCGGGGGTGGCAGTGTGTTCACACTGAGACCTGCTTTTAAAACACTAAAGTCTGCCAGACAGCTCTGAACTGCGTGCCTCCCACTGAGCTTTCATCTCCATCAGGGGTCCTCTCACTGTCCCTCAAGCAGCACCCCACGAAGACGGGGCGGTTTCATTTCAGACAAGCAGCATGAGGCTCCTGCCCATGAGTCACGGGGGCTACTGAGAGGCTAGTAGCCGGCTCAGTACACAGCCCCCGTGACCGGGGCCCTATGTCTATGGGGTAAACTGAGCACCCAGATAGAGATCCATCTGGCCTCTGCTCTTCACCACGGCAGCTAACAGGAGAGTGCGCTGTGTGACCACAAGGGCCCAACCCACCCAGTCAGCTGAGCTCCAGGGACGGCTCTCCACGGGACCCCAAGAGCTGTTGCCTGTCCAGCTCCCGGCTCGCCTGCTGCAGCCTTCGCAAGGTGTACGGCTCCAGCCGCAGTGACCCTTGCGCAGGGCTCTGGGGGCTGAGGCTGCCCCCAGCCCCCCCATGAGCTGTCTGTAGGGACCACTGTCTCCTTACGGTGAGCTCACACCATCACCTCCGAGGGCTGCACGGAAGACAGGGGCAGTGGGCTCAGCGACGGGGAGGCTCCGGGAGCCCTGAGGCGGTACCTGATGTGGCGCTGGCGGATGAGCACGCGGGCGTGGTGGATGGACTTGGCCAGGCCCAGCTTGAAGACCTGGGTCTGCAGGCGTCTCTCCAAGAAATCCTCAATTTTCAGGCCCAGGATGTAATCCAGCTTCATCTTGCCTTCGTCCAGCACCCCGATACGGACGAGCCGCCGCAACAGGGCATTACCTGGTGAGGGGGCAGAGGCTTGTCTCAGCCTTCCAGTTCAAATCCAGCACCTCCACACCACGGCAGTGAGACCCAGCAGGAAGGAAGAGCTAGTCCTGATACAGGACTCAACGCACTACTGCATGAGCCACCGTGACTCCCGGAATCCTCACTACCCTGAGGCAGACAACAACCCACAGCTCGCGTGACCCTCCAGGGCTCTTAGAAGAGGGCAAGTCTACGCGCCGCTGTCCCTCCACTAGTCCTCCCGTAACACAGCATGGGGCTATGAGCTAATATGCTGGAGTCCAAAAAGCCCTACCAATCAAATGCACTCAAACCACCTCCCTCATCTGACACTGGAACAGCATCAGTACCTATCTGTTAGGCCTGGAAGAGACCCGGCATACATAAGAACTGAGTGCTTGTCATCCATTTCATCACTGAGATTTTCTACTAAGATGGTGAGGATAACCTCAATGCCTGGTAAAGTAAACTAGTAACGACTGTCACCTTCTCCCTGGCACGCAACAACTCCAGGTTCAGGAGGCCTTGCCTGTGGGCGTCCAAAGCTCCACTCAGGTGAGCTCCTGGGACGCTGCCGGCTCGCACTCCCTGGGCTGGTTATCATCACAGAGGATTATAATTTATTAGCACCTAAAAGCACCATTACCACCACCCCCCCTCTTGCCCCCAGACAAAGCCTGAAGAAAAGCTGGCTGACTTTATGAAGACAGTCTTCCTAGCAGACTAAGAGCCAAGGAGAATCTAAATGGAGAAACATACTATACCTTTTCCAACACCCCAGGTACTAATTTGCACTGAAGAAATACTGAACACAAGTCAAGGATATTCTCCTACTTACAAATGCATAAAAATTTTAGTGAAAAGCCTGCACAATGAAAACTTCAAGACATTAATCAAAGAAATTAAAGACACAAACAGAAAGAAATTCAGTGCTCACAGACTGAAACAGCAGTTTAAAAAATGCCCATACTACCTATACCAATATACAGATTTGAGCCAATCCCTATTAAAATTCCAACGCCATTTTTCACACAAAAAGAACAAGCAATCCTAAAATCTTTATGGAACCAGAAAAAACCCTGAATAGCTAAAGCCAATCTTGAGGAAAAACGAAGTGGTAAAAAAGACAAAAACAAAAAGAGAAAAAACCCCCACGAAGTTGTGCACATTATAGTAATCAAAATAGTATGGCACTGGCATAAAAACAGACCAAGGTAATAGAATAGAGACTAGAAATAAACCCATATATATAAATGGTCAATTAATTCACAACAGAGGAGCGAGAAATCTACAACAGAAAGTCAGTCTCTCAATGATGGTGTCTGGAAAACTGGACAGCCACATGCAAGAACAAGACTGAACTCCTGTCTTATCCTGTACACGAGTTAACTCAAAATCATGAATTTCCAAAAGGTCCAGCAGTGAGGACTCGGGGATCGGTGATTTCACTGCAGCGGCCAGGGCTGCTCCACTGGCTCAGTGGTGAAGAATCTGCCTGCAACACAGGAAATTCGTGTTCAATCCCTGGGGAGGGGAGATCCCAGGGAGAAGGAAATGGCAACCTACTCTATTATTCTTGCCTGGGAAATCCCGTGGACAGAGGCGCCTGGTGGGCTACGGTCCATGGGGTCCACTGGGAGTTGGACATGACTTAGCAGCTAAACAACTGGCAAGGAAGATCCCTTAAGCTATACAGCAGAGGGGGGAAAAACTCCAAATGGATTAAAATCATGAATGTAAGACCTGAAACCATGAAACTCCGAGAAGAAAACTAGGCAGTACCCTCCCTGACCTAAGTCTTGGAGATGACTTTTTGGATCTGATTCTGAAGTAAAGGTAACAAAACCAAAAATCAACAAGTTGGACCACATCAAACTAAAAAGCTTCTGCAGAGCATAACAAATTTAAAAACAACCTACAGAATGGGAGAAAATATTTACAAATCACATATTTAATAAGGTATCTAATACCCAAAATATATAATGAAATCATCCAACTCAACAGCACAAACAACAAAAAACACTTCAATTGAAAAATGGGAAGATGATCTGATGTTAGCCAGACTTACCGTGGAGGTCATTTCACAATATACAAATACATCATTCTGTTCTGTACTAATGTCAAATTATAAATTATACAATTTAAAAACTGAACATAATAATCAATTATTATTACAAAACATATCCAAAGGTAAACAAAAGTGAGTTTGGAATTATCTACCAGTTTGGACACTTCATGTCTTTTTGTCCTTACATTAGAAAATAGACACCTGACAAAAACTCAACCTGTATTACTATACAGGAAAAATCTTACTGGATATGAAGACAAAAATAAAACTGATAAACTTGCAGCCTTCAACAACAGGAGTGTGTCCAACTACTAAAAATTGATAAATGGCTTTCATTTGGCCAAAAATGAAATAACAATCAGAATCAGCCAAATCAAAGTTTGTTTTTTAGAAAAAAACAAAACAACACTGTATGCCAGTGGGCACCTCAATGGCCAAGGGGCCCTTGTCTCAAGTGCCTTGGTTTCTAATATGATGTGTTACTCACTCAGTGTTCCAACTCTTTGCCAGGCCCCTCTGTCCATGGAATTCTCCAGCTAAGAATAGGCTGGAGTGGGTTGCCATTCCTACTCCAGGGATCAAACTCCCACTAAGGTATGAGTCTTATCTGACAAGAAGAGTTCCTGGTTCATTTCATTTAGTCACTCACAGGTATCAACTCTCACCTCACACCAGCACAGGGTAAAGAATCTGCCTGCGATGGAGGAGACCCAGGATTGGTCTTTACCCTGTGCTGGTGTGAGGTCAGAGTTGATACCTGTGAATAACTGAATGAAATGAACCAGGAACTCTTTTTGTCAGGTAAGACTCACACCTTAGTGGGAAAGGCTGGACCTGAAACAAGGCCAAGCTGCAGCAGCAGCAAACACCTCAGAGCTCCCGGGCTTCTCCTCTCCATCCCAGCAATCTGGCGTCACTCACCAAATCCCTGGACACCCGCTGCTCAACCCTGCCCTGTGCTATCTCTGTCACATGACTGCTT